ATTTGGAGCCACTGGACCAAACTGTTAAAATGTTTGAATCGGTTAAACCAACCCCACCACATGTTGCTGTATTTAAAGCCTATTTTGGTGTTAATAATTATAGAACCTGAACTGGTTTGGCACATCAGGGCCATGGGCTGCATGGTGGCGCAGTGGTTAGCACTGTTACCTCGCAACAAGAAGGTCACAGGTTCGAAACTCGGCTGCGGCCTTTCTGCGTGGAGTTGCGTGTTCTCCCCATGCATGCGTGGGTTTTCTCTGGGTATTCCGGTTTCCCCCACCTATAGGTTAAAAAGAAAATTGTAAAGTCGCTTTGGGTAAAAGTGTCTGCTAAGCACATAAACATAAACACATCAGGGTACATCAGTGGGAGGAGTATTTGTGCACTAGTGGTATTTATAGAGCCAAAACTTGTGGGTAAAAATTAGCTTTTCGGTTTCCCTCATTTCCATCCAAATGCCGTCGTCTAGAGTTACCCTGCCAGCTGTGTGCTTGTGCATTCATAAAGTAGCGGCGGTTGTAGAACATCATCTGTCCAGTGTAGATGTAGTGAACAGGGACTTTTAAGTTACTCATTAATCCTGGATGTGGAAGCTTATTTTTTGCTGATCAGCACAGTGGCCATTTCAGGTTGATGCTGAGGTGAGCAAGCAGCAAACCGTCAGCTGCTTTGCGAAACAGCAGGCGTTGCAGCAACAATGAAGTGTTTACCAGAAGTACAGGCCTCACACACATGTAATGACATTTTCAGCTGACGTGCTTTAATATTAAGGAAATTTTTACTGTGGCTATTTGTATTAACCAACAAACCTTTTGATAATTGCCAAATTCTGATTCTGAATGATAGTTACTCGGATTCTAATGTCCCTTATCCTGCTTGGTGCAGCTCAGCTCTGCACAGTTCTTAGGTGTTTCCACTAATAATGGATGCATGGTTCCTCTCCCTTTCTGTGGTTCCAAGTGTACCATGCCAGGCTCAAGATACAGTGTCTGAAGATTGTCTTTTGCTGATTGATTTCAGTGTGTCCCGTGACAGCTGTGGCTACAGTTTGGCTGATTATCACCACCACTTTTTGAGTGTGTGTGTGTGTGTGAATGGGTGAATGACTGATGTGTTGTAAAGTGCCTTGGTGGGCTTGTAGGACTCTAGAAGGCGCTATATATAAATACAGGACATTTACCATTTAGTGGTAAAAGTGGAAGGATATGCTACGATTTAGTGCAGTTCCTCCGGTTCTTTGCAATTAACGACGCTGCATACTGAGTTTTTGAATTTTCATGTATGTTGTGCATTGTTGTTATGTCAATGCTAAATAAATATTTTCATGGTTTTGTAATTGATTTATTGCAATGCCTTGATTTTAGTGAGGTTAGTACACATCATAGCCAGAAATACTTTGGTTCTAATTATTGATGTAAAAATTTTTTGGGTGTTTCAGTTTTTGGCGTTGGTTTCCTCACTTTTGGTTTTCGGCCAATTCGGTGCATCCCTACATGTTACCATGGAGTTTTAAAACAGTTTTTCTAATTGTTTGCATATATAACTGCTGGACTGGTTGTAGCATAGCCTGTCTCTGCTTTCTAGCATATTATTTCCAGATGTTGACAGTCTACTTCTGAATATCAAAAGTTTCAGAAGTTTATTTGTATAGCACTTTAAATGCAACAATGTTGCCCAAAATGCTTAGCAAAAAACAATAAAACATTTGCGATGCACTGATATGAAATCCTCAGGCCGATGCCGAAATTTATAATTAATATCACTGTTATGGCCGATACCGATATTTGCCGGTACCGATATACTGACATTAATGCTTCTAAAATCATCAGATTTTGAATAGAATGAAAATTACTAAAGCTGAATGTACATTATTATGTACACACCACACTCCCCCCCCCCCCCCCCCCGCGACCACATACATTTACGCTTCTGAGATGATTACAACCACTGTCACATGACTAAACAATCAGACCCCCCCACCACCACCACCCCCCATTTAGCATCTGTGAAGTCTATTCTATCTGAGCCTCCTTGGGTGAACTGAACAGTCTTCATCTTATTTATGAGCTTCAGAAGATAATGAGTGGATTTGTTGTTTTTACAGCACAATGCTGACTGTTACAACAGTCAAAGGAGAAGTGGGAGAGGTTTTTTAAAGCATTCTACTGTGAGGCAAAGACTATTTTAGAAGCTCGACATCCTGTCCCGGTGGATGTAGAGAAAACTTAAAAGGTTATATGGCAAATAAATGATCAAAATATTAGCCATTTTTCCATATTGCACACCACAGATTTTTGTCCATTTTTTAAATTGCCAGTTTAAAGCAGCTCCAAATGAAAACATAAACTAGATATTTGTTAAATCTTTTGTAATTTTTGGGTTTTCTTGTGACATACAGATTCAAAATAATCTAAATTTGCCTCTGGGACAATGAAGATAATTGTTTACATTATATATAATGTTTACAGTTCAAGGTGTCCACAGACAATAATAACATTAAAAGTGTTAGTCTGTCAAAGTACGCCGTAATTTCATCTATTCGGGGGACCAAGAGAATGGCTGTATGACCTTAAATGCTGCATCAAATGACCAAAAGAGTCGCAGATTTTACGGTGCTCTGTTGGAAACCACAAAGCGTAGTGAATTAAGGCGTTGTGGGGTAAGGTCTGCCACAATTTTTGGTGTTGGGGGTTTAGAAACTGAGATTTTAAAATGGCATGAATGCTGCATATTTTCTTTTCGTTCCATTTTGCTTCAGCAGTGACTTTTCCAGTTTCCAGTTGCACAGCAAAGTCAGCTGCTGTCATTTCCTACTGAGGTACAACCAATCAGCATTGGTTAACCACAGGTATTACCCGTAAGTTTCGATACTGGAAGCAGGCGTATCTTCTCCACAGTAGCAGAGCAAGAAAAGTGAAATCTGACTGTTTTCCTGCACACTTCTTCATCCTCTCATTTAATGGTGGCGGGAAACCATCATTCAAGGAGCATTACCCCTCCTTTCCACCGAATGTGGAAGTGTTGCAAAATGGTTGTGAAACGTTGTTTGCAGCAATTTGTCACGTTGAAGGTTAGGAGGAGGTTAGAACCCAAGATGCAGGAAACCCCAGATGACACGAGGCAGGATCGGTTGAAAAGCAAAATCCTTTTATTTAGGATGAGGAACCAAAAAAATCCTCAAAGGGCAGGAAGCCAAAACCCAAAGTCCTGAACACTAGGACAACAAAAGCTCACATAGAGCACAAAACAATGCTGACACACAAATAATGGAGACACAGACAGGGCTTCATACACTGGGGCATGATGGGAGGCAGATGAGCTGCAGGTGTGTGGGGAGAGAACCAGGTGAAAGCAATTAACAAATCAGGGAAGACACCAACATGAAAAAAGAGTAAAAACCTAAAGACAAGGAAAGCAGCAACATAACTAATTTTCTAAGGGGAAGGAAAACTACAAACACCGGTGGGAAAAAACATACTAAAGAGACTAACAAAATGAAAAGCTGAAACTATAAAAACGTCAGAGGGGTGACTGGGGAAGACTAAAGGAACACAGGACTTGGGAGAGATATCTGGAGGGCTGAAGACCAGGGGACACATGAGGAACACAAAGAGTCACATAAGAGGGATACTTAGGGGGAAATGGAGCACACAAGGAGACACATGAGACACAGACACAGACCATGACACAATTAGCTGCCGTTATAGTGGATTGGTTCTTTTCCACCGGCCGCAAAGTGGCGTGGAATGCTTCCGCCCTCATTTTGCGTCTGAAATGCTCCCAGGTTGGAAGGGAGCTCGTGGGTAAAACCCTCTGTTACTTTACGCCACTTTTGCGTTCTGTGCATAGGAGTGGTTACAGCCTCCTATTGGTCCTGCTCACTGTTATTCAAGAGAATAGGGTCACAACTGATAACATTGATCAAACAGAAAATTGTCACAATCTTCTGGTGTCCGAAACATTTTAAATAGACTGCACTTTTAGTGTTTCGGACCACTCGGGTACTTTATACTGCAAGTCACATACTTTGGATATCAGTATATGAGGTACTGCGTCTTTCCTAAGGACACTTTGACTTGTTGTGTGGGAAGGAATTCAAACTACCAGCATTCTGACTGGCAGGCAACCACTTTTACTTGAGCCAAGCCCATGAATGCTGTTACATATGTCAACAGGTGTTTTAAAAGCAGTGTGTGTATGAACAGTACCCTAGTGCTCACTGTATAACATTAGAATTTTGTGTTTTCATGTTATTGGGTTCATTTCCTTTTATTCTGCACCAAGCCTGGTTCAAACTATTTCTAACAAACACTGTTTTCAGGGTACGTCAAAGTAAATTTCAAATTGAGATGTTTGGAAAAAAAAAACAAGTAAGAGACAATTACCCCTATGCATCATTAATTATAAGACATTTTTTCTCTTAGTTTTCAAAAGCATATTGCCTCACATCACTTAGTCCTTCATTAAGATGTGTAACAAAGAAGTCATACATACCAGCTCAGAGTGATTCCCACACAGAATCTGTATATTTTCCCCAAATAACTGTCTCCTACCTGTTATTAGCAGTCATAGCCCAGTGAGATCATGGTTTTAGCTCCATCCACAGATAATGTGGAAGCCTGCCTGAAGAAAAATTGAACTGTTTTTGTTGGGTAGACTTTTGTGTAGTGACTTACCAATGAGGGTTGACACATAACACTAGACTAGACGTCAGTAGTCACAGGTAACCTGAAGGACGTTGACCTGCAGCTCATGTTTTCACCTGCTCAGAGGAACAGTCCATGAGCTGCTTCTAGAATGAATCATTCAGATCCAATTCTTCTCTGATTGCTGCCACTATTATACATGTTGGCTCAACTCACAGTTTGCGGTTATGTCAAGTTTCTTCAAGTTCAAGCTGTCCACTTTAGGAATCATAATGTGGCAAATGCTTGCAAAAGCAGGAACTGTGAGGGTCCTGTCTCCTTCTGAATGTGTTATCTTTGTGCTCTCTCTGCAGTCTAAAAGTCACATTTCATTGATGCATTAGGACACAATGGGTGTCCCACGCTGCATCCTGCTGCTGCTGCTGGTTCAGGTCCCTCAGGCTCAGTCTAGACCAGCCACGGAGGACACAGACACAGGTAAGACCAGATGTCTCAGCATGAGTCTTAGTTTTAGTCACACGTTTTAGAACATGACTGCATGTGATTTTTATAGCTAAATCTGAGGTTTGTTGAGCTGTTTTTGAGTATTGAACTGATGATATAAAAACCATGGATTCTCATTTAAGACTGCACAGTGGCACAGTGGTTAGGGCTGTTGCCTTGCAGCAAGAAGGTCCTGGGTTCGCTTCCCAGCCTGGGATCATTCTGCATGGAGTTAGCATGTTCTCCCTGTGCATGTGTGGGTTCTCTCCGGCTTCCTCCCACAGTCCAAAAACACGGCTGTCAGGTTAATTGGTCTGTCTAAACTGTCCTTAAGTGTGTGTGTGTGTGTGTGTGTGTGTGTGTGTGTGTGTGTGTGTGTGTGTGTGTGATTGTTTGTCCTGTGTGTTTCTGTGTTGCCCTGCGATGGACTGGCTTTCTGTCCAGGGTGTACCCCGCCTGATTGCCCGTTGACCGCTGGAGATAGGCACCAGCGCCCCTGCGACCCTACATGGAAAGGCAGGTTCAGACAATGGATGGATGGATAGATGGATCCTCATTTATTTCATTGACTGAAGGTCAAATATCTGGCAGATGGTGGTATTTTTGAGATTTCACCAAAATGTCTTCATTTCTCAACCAAAAAAATGGTTTAAGTTGAAGATCTAGAGAAATTCAGTTCTCTCAAGGAAATCTGTGACTTCCATTGTGAGTCTGGTTCTAGGAGACTTCTTTGTGAGTAGATTTCTTTTAATTAGGATATGAAAAGTCTAATAATACATTTGGGGATTGCATTCAGCTTCAGTGAGATGAGTCTTCACACTGGAAGCATCAGCGTTGTGGAATGGCAGCGGAGCGTACGTGTGAAGTAGGGAAACTCATATTGAATAGTACCAACCGGTCACAGCTTCTTACATCTCCTATGAATTTGACCATTGCTAGTTTGTAAAGACAGGAGTCAGATCAGCGATGTATAATCCTACACTGTCTTTTGCATGATGTAAAGTTTTTTCCAGACTGTCTCCAATCTGTCTCTTTTATTAAGAAGTCAAACTTTTTTGTCCTCAGGTCTTCAGAAGTTGTGTTGACCTCTTTATTCTTGGAGAGATGAGCCATCCCTTACTGAAGATATTGAATGTTTCCAGAAAATCAATGTCTCCAATTATTTTTGGAAGAAATCAATGCTGTCTGTTCATGTCTGGTGACCTCTTAGTTTCTCTCTTGTGTGTGTGTGTGTGTGTGTGTGTGTGTGTGTGTGTGTGTGTGTGTGTGTGTGATCCCAGCTGCAGTCGTAGCGTTTTGGTCTTTTTATATAAAAGTTTATAAAACTTTCCAGTGAGCGAATTTCTTTAAAAGGAAAGTGACTTTTCCTAGGTTCGGCTGTTTTTGGTCTGGAGGCATCTGAAACTGGTTAGAGTGATTTTTCATGGTGCAACCGAGCATTGGCTCTCAGCAGGCTGGTTACAGCTGTTATATCCTGTCCAGGCACAGTAATACAGAAAAACATGCACACAGTCTGGGAGTGCAACACAAACACAGCCAAACGCTTTCAGGAATCATGCTCCTCCCTCCGCATTGTGCAAATATGCTTGTATGGGTCCTCCTAAGTGTGCATTTGTTCACTTTTGTTCCAACCATCTGGAGTCCAGCTGGGTCTGTGTTATACTGTTGTTGTTGTTGTTGTGCAGCCTGTAAACTTTTGTTTTCCTCTTAATCAAAAGTCCATCAGATTTAGCTTCTCTGCTGCAGCCTCCTTTTATAAAAAGTCTGCTTTCAGTTTCCAGCTCAGCTCAGACAGAGGAAATCATACTTATTGGCTTTCTTCTTGTTTCTAAACCAGTTCCTACACATATTCTGTTGTCCACTGTTAATCAGCTAAAATAAAAGACTTGAAGACATTTAAAAATGTCAGTTTATCAGCTAAATTTAAAATAGTTGGAAAACTTCCAACATCATAGATCTAAAACACAAACATACCTGAGAAGCCAGAAGAACTCAATTGAAGAATAATGTACTACTATTATCTTAAAGAGGGTCTCTTAGTGACTCTTTAGAGTTACTGCCTCATTTCTGCTTTTGTTTAGGAAAAGGAGCAATTCTGCACAGTCATATTTACAACTAGTCCCACCAAAGAAAACATCTTCTCTGAAGAAACCAAGAGTGAGTGGGCACACCTCCCAGTTGGGGTTTGTTTGTGCTTTCATCTTTCATTTGACTTGAAGGATCCACGTGTGCCAGTAGGCAGTAAATGTGACAAGAGTGCTGTCATTTGGTCAGTATTTGTTTTGATCAGTTGTTGCTGTGATGCTCATCTGTGGACTGGAACTTCAGAAAAGGAAACTGCTTATGGGCTTGACACATGGGAAGCAACAAACAACTGCGATCAGCAAAAATCTTTGCTATTGCTTTGGTAACCTGACACATGGGAGGTGACATGTGGCAGTGGCAAAAGCCAGTGACGCGGTCTGCTCCAGGGCGAATAGCAAGTCTTCTGTTGTTTTGATTGGCCATCAGGTTGGAGGGAATTTTGGGTTAATAAAGCAGTACAGAGTTGAAAAAGTGGTCGATATAAAGTCTCACAAGTTTTTGGTAGAGTTAAGTGAAGTCTTCTGACTTTACTATATAAATAGAAAAATATGTGAATGGGTTCATCCCATGTTACAAAGAGAAAAAGAAGCAGTGAATATGAGACCACACCAACAACCAGCTCACTGATAATTTCCCATGCCGCTGCCTGTTTGTGAAGATCTCTATATTCTTTTGTAGAAATGTTGTAAAGCTCTGGGAAATCAGACACAGAAAGTATTAACTTTTCCTCAGCTTTCCCTTTATGTTTGAGATGTACTGAGTAGCATCCTGTCCGCTCATTGGTCAGTCAATGAACCGTCCGCTGATAGGTCCTTGTCCGAGCGACAGTGATAAGTTGAAATTTCCTTAACTTTCTGGGATCGCATCGCTGGCTCGGCTGTGCATGACACATGCACAAGCACAAAATTTTGCAACTCTAGTCCGCAAACTAGCTTGTTTCTGAGCTGCCCACTAGATACAGTTTAGGAGACGTGTGAAAGGAAGATGATGGTGAAGATGACCACCATCTTAAAAAAACCCTCCCACCCACTGCATTCTGTTGTAGAGACCATGGACAGCTCCTTCAGAGGCAGACTGAGATATCCCAGATGTAGAACAGAACACTAACGTAGGTCATTCATCCCCTCTGCAGTAAGACTGTATAACTCCTCAGTTTAAGTTTTACTGGCATTATCCTGTTACACAATAACACTAATGCAATATTCATTATGTGTTCAATACTCGTTCAATACTAGATTTACATAATATGTAGGGCTGGGCAATAAATCGAAAATTTATGGTTATCGAAATTTCTGCAATCTGCTGGTTTCCTTATGTAGGAAACCTTTTACTGATTGGCTTAATTAACTGAACTGTATTGGATGGTTTACTTTGTGAAGTGCCTATTGAATTGAATTGATGTTTTCATTAACTCAAAGCAGGCGCCAGCAGTATGTAACAGCGGAGGAATGTCTCTGCTTCAAAAGGAATCCATTATACTCTAAGGGTTGATGCACACCAGCCGTGGCATGGAAAATATTGGGCTGCTTCTGGAATGCGTGAATTTCAGCAGTTAACATTGGGCTATATGGGAAGTCACACACAGTATCCGTAAAGTGTTGGATACTTTTGTTAGTAAAAGACAAAGAAAGAGAAAGAAAGGAAGAAAGGAAGGAAAGAATCTTTTATATAGCGCCTCTCAAGATAAAAATCATAAGGCGCTTCACAAGAACAACAAATTTAAAAATAAAATATAGTTCAAAAATATTTTTAAAATGAGAAAAAAATGTGTGAATAAAAGAATGCAAAGAAAGGGAGGGAGAAAATTAATAGGGAAGAGGGAAATCCCGGGAAAGGCAGAATTGGTAGAAAGAGCAGAATAAGGAGAGGGGACCAGCCTGAACAGGTGAGTTTTCAGCTGCTTTTTAACCCTCTGGAGGCAGGCGTTGCAGATTTGCAACATTAAAACCTACCTACCTGGTTATTCTACATATGTATTTCATGAGCATTTTTAAACTCAGAAGTACCCCTGAAGGACTTAGTTGTTCATCCTTTTATCAAAACTTAATTTGAGTCTGAGAGGGTTAAAGGAATCCACTGAGTCCACTGATCTCAGGCTCAGGGGAAGAGTTACAGAGTCTGGGGGCCACAGCAGCAAATGATCTGTCACCTTTGGTCTTTAGCCTGGTGCTGCACAACCAGTAGGCTTTGGTCACTGGACCTCAGGGACCTGCTGGGGGTGTAGGGACTAAGAAGATCACCAATGTATGATGGTGCTTGTCCATGTAAGGCCCTATAGACCAGAACCAGGATCTTGAAATGAACCCTGAAGTTAACAGGCAGCCAATGACGCTGGAGAAGCGGGGTGATGTGGGTGTGTTTGGAGGACTTGGTCAGAAGCTGAGCACAGGCATTCTGAACCACGTGTAGACGGTTCAGGAAGGTTCTGCTCAGACACGTGAAAAGAGAGTTACAGTAGTCCAAGCGTGAGGAGATGAAGGTGTGCATAACTGTCTCAAGTTCAGAGCGAGACAGAATGGGACTCAGCTTAGCAGTGTTCCTGAGATGGAAGAAGGAAGAGCGGACAAGAGAACTGACTTGAGAATCCAGGGTGAGAGCTGGGTCAAAGGTCACGCCAAGATTCTTGATGGAGGGTTTGGTGTGAGAAGCAAGTAGACCAAGAGTCTCTGACTTTGGGAACCAGCTTGTCTGGGGCACAGATGAGGATCTCAGTCTAATCTTCATTCAGCTATAGAAAGTTCCCAGCCATCCAGGTTTTGATAGTCCAAGCAGGTGTGTAACATCTGCAGCTTAGACATATAATGGGGCTTAAAGGAGATGTACAGTTGGATGTCATCTGCTTAAAGATGGTAGGAGATTCCTTTAACCCTCCCACTGTCTTTATGAGTGAACCTGCGAGGAAAGTTGACCTTTGAGCAGGATTGATGGTTTATCCCTTGAGGTCCATGTGGCAGGGGTGAGGTGGTGCTCACTCCTTACCCCTGCCACATGAACCCAAGGGATAAACCATCAACCCTGCTCAATAGTCAACTTTCCTCGCAGGGTCACACCCATTAGGACAGTGGGAGGGTTAAAAGAGCTCAGGATGTGCTGAAGAGGTAGCAGATAGAGGAGGAAGAGCAGATGCCCCAGCACAGAGCCTTGTGGGACACCATGGGTGAGATATGTGGTTGACGACCAAAACTTGGAGACAGTCACAGAGAAGGAATGCTCCAACAAATAAGAGGAGAACCACTCCAGAGCAGTTCCTGATAGACCAACCCAGTCTTTCCGCTTCTCCAGGAGCAGGTGATGGTCAACAGTGTCAAAGGCTGCAGTCAGGTCCAGCAGGACCAGAACAGTCCCCTGCATCACTGAGTCAGAAGGTCATTAGAGACCCTAAGAAGAGCTGTTTCAGTAGAATGAGCTCTACGAAAACTTGACTGGAAGCTATCATAAATGTTATGTTCATCAAGAGCAGCTGTGAGCACGATGATGCTTTAACCCCAGCAGTGGAGAGGCACAATTTTACATATGACACCAAACGATAATATCAAATGTGATTTCCTTCTTCTTCTCCTATGTTTAATGGTGGATGGCATAAGCAAATCATGACCTTTGAAGTCTTGCTGGATTTTGTGATCTCATAAGTCCAGCGAGGAGCACAGCGGAAAAGCCGCTCCATGCGTCTCTAAGTGGGTTGACGCCCCATGGAGCGCACAAATAAACTATTCCGCTGCCTTTCTACACCGGTGTGGATTGGGGGCCTCCAGTATTCAGGAGCCATGGTACATTTAGGAGATATGTAGCTGTGTGTATCTCCAACATGGTTTTTAATACACCAGTAGGTGTTTTCCTGTTGTATATATATAAATATATTGATTTATGACTTTGCTGTGGCTTTGTTCCACCATCAGTGGTTTAAGACTGCTGTTGTTAACGCAATGCACAGCTCACACACTTACACGTGCACAAATGGTTACTTTTTGACAGTAAGAGTGTGTATATACAGCAGAAGGGTGTCAAGGTGTGTGGAGTTTCACATGTGGGTGTAGCTTTGTCTTTTGGCGACAGCTCCTGTCTGCTGCTGCATGTCAAGACGAAACGCTCACACGTTCTCTTTTCACTGATGTCAGAGGTCAACCCTAAACTGCTCTAAGACTCATCAACTTACTCACTGAGCTTTAGGAGATGCATTCCCTGGTCTCAAACCCTTTCTTGAAACTTCTTTTGAACCAGATGCAGTGAAATCTTCTGAAGATGAAGATGACGAGTCATCCTCAGAGGAAAATAAACTGTCCAATGAACTGTCAACAAGCAATGAAAAGCTCCAGCGTACGTGTCATAAGCTGAATCAGTGCAAATATAAATGGTTGTTACTATGTTGTTTACACTGCCTTCTCCCTGTTAGCGTTGGCTCCACAGTGGGTGATGCCAGAAAAAATGGAGAAGCAGCTTCATGCCGTTCCAGCCAGCAGGACGGTAAAGTTTCGCTGCCAGGCAACAGGAAACCCAGTTCCCAGTCTGCGTTGGTACAAAAACGGGAAGGAGTTCAAGAAAGACCAAAGGATTGGAGGGTTTAAGGTGGGTTCCTGATGGTAGAACAGAGACTTTAGAGCTTGTTGTTAAGGCATTTGTTATTTTTCTGTTCTTGTTCAGATCAGAGACCACATGTGGACTCTGATCATGGAGTCAGTGGTTCCATCTGATAAAGGCAACTACACCTGCGTGGTGGAGAATGAATACGGGAGCCTCAAACATACCTACCTGCTAGATGTCGTTGGTAAGTTCTGTGTTGCCTAGACAACAGCAATTCACCATCAAATACTGTGTAGTAGGAGTGAAAACAACATGAACCACAACCAACGGCTTCAGTAGAATGAAACAAAGTCATCAAAACATCCATTTATTCCTCCAACCGTTCGTCCATTGTCTTATGCTTATCCAAGGTTGGGTGTGAAAGTCATGGCACAAAGAGGAAACTACAGACCTTCTTCTACCCTGCAACACTCTCCAGTTCCTCCTCGGGGAGAGAGTTCCAGAGTCTAAACTTTTAAGCTAGTTTTGAGTGTGGCTTAGGGTGTCCTCCCAGCGCAACGTGCCCAAAGACGTCACGAGGACGACAACTAGTCAGACGCCTAAACCACCTCAGTTGACTCCTTTTGATGAGGAGGAGCAGTGGCTGTACTCTTAGCTTCAGCTAAATGATAGAGCTCCTCACCTTATGGCTGAGCCCGACCATTCTCCTGAAGGAGAGCTGGAATCTGTTGCTAGGGAGAGGGATGTCTGGTCTTCTCTCAGGGAAGATGTCTGCCTCCCTGACTTTACCTCATGTATGTTGTTTATTAATATATTGTATCATAAATAATATAGGAAAGATCCTGAGTGAGGAAGATTTAAAGAAAATATAAAACTGTACCAAGTCAAGGCATACGTCTTTCATTTTTATGAAGGATGTCGTAAAACACATTTTAAAAGCACAACACACAGATTTTTCATTTTCTTTTATTTAATATGCAATAAACATCTGTTTGAGCCATTATTGTAGTTCTCTTCTAATTTGATTCACAAAACTGTTTCACACTATTCATGATGTTGTTTTTAGACCATGTTCAGGTTTCTCACAGAGTTTCATAAGACTGAACTGAAATCATTCCTTTCCCCTTGAGATGGAGCAGATGTAGAGGCTTTTGGATTTACCATCAGATAAATGTTTGAATTTTAAACACCTTTAAACGGGAAATTTGCAAAACTGACTTTCTGTGTTCTTTTGTGCTGATGTGTGAGTCTCTTGTAATGTGTAATTTTATAAGAGCTTTTTTTCATTAGATTTGTGTAGAATGAGTCATTATTTCATTTGGAACAATTATCTTCTGCTCCTTTATTTAATACATGAGAAAGATGGTTCCCCTCTTCCCCTCTAGCTGTCAGATACTGATGAGGCATAGATGAGGTGTTGGTACCTTGGTCTAAAAAACCCTACTGTTAGAAAATTCTGGAAAGGACAGGATGAAAGAGGTGTTGTGTGATCTCTGGCTGTTAGGAGTCACTCTGTGGAACATTTGACTTTTGTGTGACTGTTCGTCATTCTTATCACAAAAGGAATTAAATGTTGATAAAACCCAGAACTGTTTTATATTTAACTATATAAGAAACAATATTAAATCAGGTGTGTTTCAGCAAGGAGAGAGCTACAGCTTGGTGGATAAGGGCTCTTCAGGACCAGGATGTTACACCGCTGATAGAAAAAGGTTATACTATGTATGTCCCCTTTAAGCAGCATGTTGCATAAACACATTTTATTGCTAATCAAAACAAAAACAGTTGCAACATGAATAACTGTTGAGGTTTTTTGTCATAAAGAACCAAATGTTTCTGTTCCATTTTAGATTTTCTTGAGTTCACATTTGTTTGCAGAGATGTTTTTGTCCAACATAACTGATTTTCAGTTCAGTCTTTGTATCAGTAAACAGACTATAGACACTGCCTCAGCCTTCCTCTCACATTGATACAGATTTATTTACTTTTTCTCCAGAACGTTCTCCTCATAGGCCGATCCTGCAGGCCGGTCTGCCAGCCAATCAGACTGCAGTTGTCGGTAGTGATGTGGCGTTTGTGTGCAGAGTGTTCAGTGACCCACAGCCTCACATCCAGTGGTTCAAACACATCAGTGTCAATGGTAGCAGAGAGGGACCCGACGGACATCCCCACATTCTGGTTCTCAAGGTAAACTCAGCACACAGGAAGTGAGGGTTTTTATTCTACATATTCACAATCCTGTCCAGGTGGTTATATTAAGGTGGTTTGTTAGCTGTTTTTTCAGAAGAGGAGACATTTGAGTGGTTTTTCACAATCTTGACTTCCATTTTTTTCCTCAGAAATAACCTGTAAACATTAGATTAACCCCAAACCCCCCACACAAAGTAATGTTTGTTTTTTCTTCTTTTGTTCTCACGCACATTTATCTTTGTTGTGTATCAGATGACACTATTTCAACTAGTTTCCTTCCTAAACAAACATCTTAGGATGTCCTGGATGAGTGAGCATCTTCACTAAAGTTAAATCAAAGTGTACATTCTTACAACATCCTGAGTCACACACAACCCACACGGTGATCTTCTGAGTCCCTGCACCCTCAGCAGGTCCCTGAGGTCCAGTGACCAAAGCCTACTGGTTGTGCAGCACCAGGCTGAAGACTAAAAGTGACAGACAGGTCATTTGCTGCTGTGGTCCCCAGACTCAGGAACTCTCACCTCCTGAGTCTGAGATCAGTGGACTCAGTGGTCTCCTTTAAAAAGCAGCAGGAAACTCACCTGTTAAGGCTGGTTTTGGTGTGACCTTCATCACCACCCTCTCCTTATTCTGTTCTTATTCTGCCTTTCCCGGGATCCACTTATTTCCCTCTTATTAATTTTCTCTGTCCCTTTCCTTCATTTTTTTCTAATCGCAATTTTTATTTTTTCTCATTTGAAACATATTTTTAATAATTAAAAAAATACTTTTTATATTTACATTGTACATTTTATTTATTTATTTATTTTTCATGAAGGACCTAGTGATTTTTGTCTTGAGAGGCGCTATATAATAGATTGTTTTCTTTCTTTTCTATGGGAAGACCTGACTGGCTGTCAGATACCGGTACACACCAGGAATTTCTTTCCCTCAAGAATGTCGTCTGATGATGTACCCATTAATCAAAAATCGTCTCTGATTAAGTAAAATTTAAATGATGTGAATCTGGCATTAAAGGTTCCAAATAATGAAAAATCCACCTTTTTAGAGATTTTTACATATGATATTGTCATTTCCTCATGACAAATACCCCCAAACCCATTTTGGCTGTATTAATTCATGCATTTTCCTTTCTCAGGTTCAATAAAAAATAAAATAAAATAAATTCAGGATTTCTTACTGAAGAAAGTAAACCAATTGTGTCATCAGGCATTTCTCCTCCTCCTGAAACTAGTCTCAGCTCTGAAACCCTCCTCTCCTGGAAGAAGATCACATTCTCCTAGTTGTGGGAATAGAGTTGTTGATTTCATGCTGCAGTTGAGAATGTGATCTTCATGTTACAGATGACTGCTTTAAACCTCCACCTGTACCAGAGTGGATATTCTGACAAATTACTTCATCATTGGGGACAAAAGCCGCTGTAAAAACCATGCATCCTGTCCACAAAGATGCATGTAATGGTCAGCTCAGGATATGTATGTTAGGTGACTATTGTTTTCGTAAGACTTGGTAGTCCAGTGATCAGAGGGCCAGACTAGCATGTCGTTTAGCACCGGTTTGACTCCTGGTCGCTGCTTTCTTCCTCCTTTTTCAGCTAAATTTTCCAGCATTATGTGTTAACCCTTTATTGGTAAACTGTTTAGAATATAAGGACTAATCTGTATTTTTATTTATTTTTTTTTACATTTGTTTATTTAGCCAGTGTGAGTCCACGTGAGATGAGCAGAGTAAATCAACTAAAATGCTGCTTGGAAATGAGCAAATTCAAAGATCTTTAGAGATACAAAATATTTAGCAGAAAATAAATATAATAAACTAAAATATTAAAAAAATGAAATCTGCTTCAGCTGACTAAATAAATTACTGCCGACACCAAAAGTTAAACTAGCGTCAGCTCCTATAGCTGCATTTTGTCGGAGCGGGTGTGGACAGAGCTCCTCTGAAACAGACCATTTCATTTCTGGGTATAAATGCAGACTGATTAAAATAACTCATATTTAAGATAAATGACATCTCAATTTAAAAAAGACCCTTTATGACGAATAATATAAATGGAAATCGTGTTCCCTCGCCTGGACGTGGGTCACCAGGGTCCCCCTCTGGAGCCAGGCCTGGAGGTGAGGCACGTAGGCGAGTGCCTGGTGGCCGAGCTTTCACCCATGAAGCCTGGCTGGGCACAGCCTGAAGAGGAAACGTGGGTTCCCTTCCCATGGACTCACCGCTTGTGGGAGGGGCCAAAGGAGCCGGGTGCAATGTGTGATGGGAGGTAGCCGAAGGTGGAGACCCTGGCGGTCTGATCCTCAGATAATCAGCTCCTCTAAATCTGCGTCTTAAGTCGGAAAAGGGTAGAATGCCTTCTCCGAGTCAGGTACGAGGTCCTGCCCCAGGTGGAGGAGTTATAATATCTTAGGGTCTTGTTCGCAAGTGAGGGAAAGATGGAATGCGAGATCGATAGGCGGATTGGTGGTGTGTCTGCAGTGGAGTGGGCGTTGTACCTATCTGTCATGGTGAAAAGAGAGCTGAGTCAGCAGAAGGCAAAGCCCTCCATTTACTGGTGGATCTACGTTCCTACTTTCTCCTTTGGTCATGAGCTTTGGGTAGTGACCGAAAGAATGAGATAGTGGATGCAATCAACCGAAATTAGTTTAATGTGCAAGGTGTCTGGGCTCTCCCTTAGAGATAGGGTGAGAAGCTTGGTCATCCAGGAGGGGCTCAGAGTAGACCTGCTGCTCCTCCACATCGAGAGGAGCATATTGAGGTGGCTCGAGCATCTAGTTAGGATGCCTCCTGGACGTCTCCCTGTTGAGGTTTTCCAGACATGTCAAACTGGAAGAAGACTTAAAGGTAAACCCAGGACACGGTGGAGGGACTATGTCTCTCACCTGGTCAGGGAATGCCTTGTGATTCCCCCAGAAGAGCTGGCCCAAGTGGCTGGGCAGGGGGAATTCTGGGCCTCCCTGCTTAGGCTACTGCCCACATGACCCGACGCCGGGTAAGCGGCAATGGATAGAAATGGATGAACATCTCAATAGTGCAGATGGTAGTATTTTATTATATTATTTTATGTCTACATTTGCCCTCAAAGATTTTAAATAGCCTGATCTGACTCTTTTAAATCAAATACAGCCAAATACCCATCAGATATTTTAAATCTAGCTGCTTTTATCTGCACTTACACCATACAGAATTGTTTTCTGCTGCTTTTGGTATTGACGACCTCAGATGGTTAAATGCACACTTACTGGTAGGCTCTTGTAACAGCTGGTGCAGTTTAGAGCCTGTAGATCATTTGAACAATGATCTCCACTTAAATCAGTTCATAACTAACCCCGATGTCTGTAGAAAGCAGCGGTAAGCTGATCCTGAGTCTGTGACCGTGTCAATGATTTACTGACGTGTCTTCACTAGAGGCTGATTCGGTCTCTGCTCACTGCACTGGTCTCATTTGTCTCTGACGGCACTCTGTCAGACCACATCTGTGGTGTGCTGTGATGAAAGGCAGTCAGGCAGTGTGGTCTGGTGTCTGGTCCCCAGCCAGAAGCCATGTGTGTATCATTATGCTTTATTTTATTATTAGAGAGGCTGAAGTGGCTCAGTGTTTGATGTTTAAATCTCATCAGTTATTCACTCGCTTTCTTTACTGAAGGGCAGCGGTAGTCATAGACTGTCAGGAGTGACGACTGTTTTTCTTGTACGCTTCCAAGTCAACGGGTCTTATAGGTTGTTGTGGAGCATGTTTGTCTGTCAGGCCTCTTAGTACAGATACAAAATGTCCCCACAAATATTTTAGAGCCTTGTTCCAGCAGTGTGAGTGAGGTACTGAGAAAAGATGTCCTTCTAAAAGCTCCTGAAAAGATTATTGTAGCTTAAAATCAGAGAGGACATTTTGTTAAAATGCAGCTGTAGCATTGTTCAGCTGTAAATGAGTCACAGCCAATGTGAACAAACAGTAAGGCTAGACAATGTTCGTGCTTTAAACACTGTAAAGCCTTCCTCCAATCACACTGGGGTACACACTATTATCTTCTGTCACAACCTGACTTAAAAGCCATGAAAAAGGAGAGACGAGGATTTTCCACCGAAAGGTAAATAAAAAAAAAACAACTAAATCAACAAAGCTTTTGTGGGATGTGGGAATTAGTGTTGTCAGGATACCAGTTGATGAATGACTTTAAAAAAGTTGTTGCAGAGTTTTGTGAGCAAAGCAAAACACAAATGGGCTCTAAAACAAAACAGTGTCAGAAGGAACCCAAACAAGAGCATCTGGAGCCATTTTAACTAAACAACGCCAACAATTTGCCACAACGCTGAAGCGGCATCAGGGAGCCTTAGGTCCTTTAGAAGCGATCAGACAGACAACTACGGCAATATGGAAGCAAGGCGGAACGAATGGCGCAAAATTTGCGCATCGCCATGCCGGCATGGTGAGTTTATAAGACACCGTTGCGGTAATATTACGCTGGTTTGCCGGCAAGGTGTGTCTTGTAAAAGACACGGGCAGAAGTCGTCAGCTCGATGTTATGCTCTGGGAAGACCTGCCAGCCTGCATGGTATTTTCAGTCATTATAATCGGCTTCCGCTCAAACTGTATTGCAGGGTTCAGTAATTCACAGCCCACAAATTAAGTGCTCACCCTGAACAACCTGATGCTTGGGTGCTTGTGCAACTTTCAATCTCTTGAATCCAGAACTACGAAGGAGAAGATAAACCCGGAAGTGAGGAACCACTTGCCCAAGAATGATATAATGCTAAAAAGCAAACAACGGTGCTTACATGGCGATTGTGCAGTGTGAGAGGATCATGTAAACTTGGATCATGGCGCTGCTTTAACAATGTGATATCCTTAGCCTAGCCTGCCAGACTCGTCCTCTAATTCTGCACAGAGAAAGGTACTCACAGGCAGAGAGGCACATGAGGGGCGGGACTAGGCAGCTCAAAAATGACCAATCAGAAAAAAGATGGAAATCCCAACTGTACCACACGATGCTGTAATTTTCTAGTTGTAGTAAAAAAAATAGTGTCTGGCAACGGCGCAAACATCTTTTATTTTTTTTAGAAGAAATGCTTTTAGCGCTTCTACTTGTGGTTTTTAAGATGAGTCATTTAGAACAGAGGAAAGAGTCGCAGCAAACTGCGCCGCTGTCTTCGTTGTTTATGAGTAACAGCGCCGCCGTGTGTGACGTCGGCGACGCTGTAGTTTTTTTTAGCTGTAGTAAAAATGGAGTCTGGCGACTGTGCAAACATCTTTGTTTAGAAGAAATGCTTTTAGCGCTTCTAGTTGTTGTGGGTTTTAAAGACATGTTCAAATAATTTAGAACAAAGGAAAGAGCCGCAGCGAACTCCACTTCAGTCATCATGTTTATGACGAACTGACAAACTCGGCGTTATGGTGTGTGATGTACGATACTCAGAGCTGATTGGCTCGGTTAGAATTCTCACGGGGTGGGGTTATTTGAATCGGAGAGTTCCCAGACTCTTTCTCTGTGCAGAATTAAACAGAGGAGGAGTCTGGCAGGCCAGGCTATGATATCCTGACAAGAGGTGACCGAAATTTCATGTTTGATTTTTCGGGCCACCATACGATTGCTGATTGGGAATTGGTGTAGGTGTTAATTACTTGTTGATATCCTCTGCAACTAAATGATGTACAAATGGAAAATTGGCTCAAATCAGTCAAAAATTGCATAGCGTATGCTAGAGATGGGAAAAATGATCGATTCTAAGATGCATCGCGATTCAGCCGTGCATGATTCCGCATCAATGCAGCAACGTGACATAATGAGATTTTCTCCCTACGTCTATGTCGTGGGTCGGCAGCCCGCGGCTCTGGAGCCGCATGCGGCTCTTCCATCCATCTGATGTGGCTCTCTGTGCTTGTAAAATAATGAATGGATATTTAAATAAAATGCTTTATATTTTACTGCATTAATTTTACATCTGTATGCCAATTGTAAATGTAAAGATTGACTGCGTAAACCTGAACAGTTCCAACCCGGTCTTACTGTGAGACCGGGTTGACGTGTCACGCTTGTGCGTAATCATATAGGCGCTTTCTGAGCTGAAGAGGATGTGAGATTCTGGGCTTCTCCTCAGACGGCTCCTGGATGTGTCGCCACATTGGAGACAGGAACAATCACTATTCAGCCAAAGTTTCATAATCAGGGAACATTTTCTAAGTGACAAGTCTCTCTTCAGTCGGAGGAATCTTCCTGCATGCGCTCTGGTTCTGCGACGCGCTCCAAGCCCCTCTCCACATCTTCAGCTCGCTGTGCACCTTACTTACGCGCTGACAGCGAGCTGCGCTGAGCAGCGTCCAGCTCAGATGTTCAGATAGGAATCTTTTGAGTGATTTAGCTACATCTGCGATGTGCGAAACGCATAAAGTGTCAGTTCGTCTGCATGCGTCGGGGTAACTCTTTCTATTCTTTCTCCGTCAAAATAAACGGTCAAATACGGGAACTATCCGATCAACACAAGCCCTGCTTTTAATTGTTCTGTTTTCTTATGAAAATAGATATAATTTAACTTGATTAACACCAGAGCCAGGCGCACTGCACCGTTATCTCCGTCGCTGTAAATGAGGGAAAAACAAAATGATCGGATCCTTTTCTGACCTTCCCCACCTACAAAGTTTAATTACAACAATCAAACATGACAGAGCCTGGATTTGTATTCTGAACAGTTTAAACATGTTTTAAAAAGAAACGTATGACAAAAGTGGCACCTGCTCAGTCAAACCACCAACAGGGTGAAAAATATCAAAATATTGTCGGCAGAGACGGGCTACAACTTCTGGATCTACTTTATATAAATCGTTTTATTTATCTTCTTATGAAAGATAACTTTGACGTACACGAGCGACCGGTACCTGCTGCTGTCACCTGTTGTGAGCAGCTCACTGCTGTCTGAGGGTAGGCCCCGCCCACATCGCCGCGACTGCTGCGGTGTTTTCCTTACTGTGGGAAACGGGTAATAATGGCTCTTTGATGGGAACAGGTTGCCGATCCCTGGTCTATGTCTATGCAGGACAATAAAGTTTTGAGGTTTTATAATTACTTCTGGGGGCAGAGTTGCAATGACATGCGCACTGTGTTGCCCTAGCGCCAATTTAAAACAGAAAAGGCAGACAGGGATACAGGGCCAACATTACCAGTAATCAAAGATGTACCCGTTACATTTAAATCGGATGTCTGGGCTAATTTCGGTTTTGGGATCCTGGATGTGAAAGAATCACTTAACACAGTATTTGTTTACTATTTTTAAGTTCAGTAATATTCTATCTTAAAGCTGCTCTACCGAAAACATTATTTCTTATATTATTTAAGTAATTATAGGCAGCACACTTTAAAAATTATTGCTCACTATAGTGAATAGATGAATGTTCTGTTTTTCAGGGATTTCGAAATCAAAAAGAAATTGAAAACTATTCTACTGCTTTTATTAAGTAATGAAAATTTTTGTGTGAAGAATCGTGATTCATTTCAGACTCAAATCGAATCTTTAGGCAGATAATCGGAATCGGGTCGAATCGTGAGGCAGGTAGAGATGCACACCATTAGCGTATGCCCGGGTTTAAACTGATTAGCTCCACCTACTGGCACCTGCAAAGATCGCAAAAACAAGTAGAAGACCCTTCTATCAGGAGAAGGCTATTACACTGATAGACACTGTTCTTCCTGTAGTTTTCATCCTAAACATTACATACCACTGCACATAAAATAATACAGCAACAGGAAGGGCAGAGGAAGAGTTTACATTAGGGCTACTCAGTTGTGTTCCAGAAGGACCACTGTCCTGTATGTTTAAGCTGTTCCCCAGCTCCAACACACCTGATTCAAAGATTGAATAACCTGTTTAGCATGTCCTCATGTTCTTCAGAAGCCTGTTAATCATACATTGATTCAAGCCAGGTATCTTAGTGCAGAGAAACATAAATAATGTGTTGTACTGTCCCTCTAAGGCCAGGATTGACGGGTCCTGGTTTACAGAAGGTATTCCTTGTAGTCAAACAGAATAAAAATGTTCATTTCACTTTTGCATTACAGTGATTAACTATTGCCACTTCTGTGGCTCTTTTTGGATCTTCCAGCACACGCTATTTCCATATTACCTCGTATTACTAAAGAAAACTGGCTGCAGCTTAGTTTTAGAACCTCTAATGGACCAAACACAAGCAGTGGAGGAAGGTTATTACCAGTTTGAACAGTTTTCTAAAATTGAAGCAGGAATCGGGCAAAAACATCTCATTTTGTTAATTTGTCTTTTTTTAGACAGCAAATTTGAACTCAACCGATAAAGAAATGGAGGTTTTGACTCTGAAGAACGTAACTCTGGATGATGCTGGAGAATACACATGCTTGGCGGGAAACGCCATTGGTGTGTCCCACCACTCAGCATGGCTTAATGTGGTCAACGGTATGTCTAGATAGAATCCACAATCATAGGAAGGCTCCAGAATCTTCCTCTCAGCTCAGAGTGACTTTTCTTATCTCAGAGCTGCCACCCTCACCGGTTCCATCACAGACGTACTTGGAGATCTTCATCTACTGCATTGGATTCATCATCGTCCTTATCCTCACTGCCTCAGCATTCATCTATAGGTTCTACTGCACCACGAAGAAGAGCGACTTCAACAGCCACCTGGCTGTGCAAAAACTAGCAAAGAGCTTTCGAATGAGGAGACAGGTGAGACAGTAGCTCTCTGTTCTTCTTCCTGTTTCCCTCCTCCTCCACCTAAACAAAAACAATCAGATTGTCTTTACATTTGTCTACAGGTATCAGTTGAGTCCTCCTCCTCCTTGCAGTTGGTGTGTTTAATGCGTCAGTCCCGTCTCTCCAGTGCAGCTACCACAGTCCTGGCAGGAGTGGCGGAGTACGAACTTCCTTATGATTCTGCGTGGGAACTGCCACGTGATCGGTATTACAATGCTTCACCTTCCCACCTGTCCAGCATGACTAAAATCCAATGTCAACATCCATGCTATTTCATTATAGGCAGGCTTTGGTGAGCTCTGTGTTCAGGTCTGACAAGATTGTTGCCATTTCCAGTCATGATGTGGTGTTTTATTTGTACCCAGAGTAAAGAATATGATGCACATTAAATATTTTTTTTAGTTTATTTCAAACAAAGAAAACATATAATTTTTTTTAAAAATACGACTAACAGAAAAAATACATATCATCATCCCTTCTTCTCTGTTTGAAAAGGAGTAGGCTGAAGTGGAAACTTATATGTCCCTACCCCTTTATACAAGTAATTTTTACTTGTTTACTAAATCTAACACAAAACCTACATTAAAATAAACAAAATGGTACAAGTCACCAAAAAACCAAAAACCAACAAACCATATGGGAAAAAAAACACATCTTTTTACAATTGATACAATTTACTTTTCCTTAGAATAAAAGACACCCACATAAATCATCTATTTTCCTCTATATACTTGTTCAAATATGAATAGTTTTTAAAGTTAAATAAGAAAATAAAAATTGCATGGCAGCAAAAGCAAAACTCAAAGAAACATGCAAAGCACAAGAGGATGTGAAGAACACAAACACAACAGTGAAGACAAACGGGAGCTACATCAGGGTTTGACAAATCTGAAAGAATCTAAAAAATGTACACACTGAAATGATTGATTACTGAGAGACAACAAGTGGGCTGATTAGCAGATGAGTAGCAGGTGTCAGGAAATGATGACAAATGACATGGGACCTAACTCACAAACTAACCAAAACCCTGAGGGAAAAAATTGTAACAATTGTGTGTGTGTGTGTGTGTGTGTGTGTGTGTGTGTGTGTGTGTGTGTTTGTTCTGTGTGTCTCTGTGTTGCCCTGCAATGGACTGGCTCTCTGTCCAGGGTGTACCCAGCCTGATTGCCCATTGACTGCTGGAGATAGGCACCAGCCCCCCCCCCCCCCCCACCCCCACCCCCCACCCCCACCCCCACCCCCCCACCCCGCGCTACGACCCTACGTGGACAAAGTGGGTTCAGAAAATGGATGGAGGGATGGAGATGCTTAGCTGTAACTTTCTGAGAAATTCTTGTAACTCTTGAAGTTAAAAAGGGTGAATTACCTCTGCAACTTTGGCCTCCCCTACATCCCAAAATAAACTAGACACACACATGTTTGAAAAGCTGAGAACCTGGTACACCTAGAAGGAGAGTCTGAAGTTAATATTTAGGTTAGGCTTTTCAGCAAAGAAGCCCTCGTTGATCCCATTGTTCCTAATGTAACTAAACAGGAACATTGCTATTAAAAGAAGTTTTTAAAAGTCCAGTGCTCTTATAAATGTTTACTTTTCACAGAAGTCACATACCTCTAAGAGGAGACTCGAGCACAGTTTGTTGTTTTTCAGTCTCACGTTGGGGAAGCCTCTGGGAGAAGGCTGCTTTGGTCAGGTGGTGCTCGCTGAAGCTGTTGGGATTGACAAAAATAAACCCACTCGCCTTTCCAAAGTGGCTGTGAAGATGCTGAAAGGTGAGAAGAAGATGTGATTTTTATGTAAGGAGCTAGCCTTGTGTAGTTTCCTCTTAAAGCGACTGTAGATAGTTTGAACGTTGTCGCAGTGGTGATAACTTGTTGTGTTTAGCGGATGCCACAGAGAAAGACCTGTCTGACCTGATCTCTGAAATGGAGATGATGAAGACGATCGGGAAACATAAAAACATCATCAACCTTTTAGGCGCCTGCACCCAGGATGGTGAGTGTTGTAGCCACTTACTGGTACAGATATGTGGGATGCTTCTTTTCATTAATGAGATTGTTTTGTGCTTGCTGGGTCATTCTGACCTGGAACAGGCCCTTTGTATGTGATAGTGGAGTACGCCTCTCAGGGGAATCTGAGGGAGTACCTACGTGCTCGCCGGCTGGCTGGGTCGGAGTGCTGGAGCGGCTTGCAGCAGGCTGCACTGGGCAGTGTGGAAATCAGGGCGCTAGTGTCTGCTGCATACCAGGTGGCCCGAGGAATGGCATACCTTGCTTCAAAAAAGGTGACAAAAACACATTTTTACTTTTCTTTTATTTGACCTTAGATTTAAAACCTTTATGATGAAACAATGACTGGTTTTAATGGATTTTATGGTAAAAGTTTCAGCAGTTCCATCGCTGTTTTTAAGTGAGCTTGTCATTTAAACGGAACTTGAATTCCTCACATAATAATCATGATAAAAAAATCACCCAATTTTCTTTTAACTGTACGTTATAACTGGGATTTCCTGATCCAGTGTCAATTACAGCTCTCAGTCCCTGTTGCAGCTTCTTTATTCATCTGCGTCAGCCTGGTGTGGCCATATTCAACTCTTAATCTGTTGTTGACCTTCTTTCCTTGTTTTGCATCAGTCAAGCCATAATACAACAGTTTGCTGGACCATTTATATATTTATTTTTTATCAGAATCTGGGGCTGGGTTCGAGGAAACAAACACCCATTTAAATTCTGTGAATTCTATGTTTAAAATCTGACTTAGTTTAATTTTTAATCTTAAGGTGTTCAGACGACGATGAATAAAATCAGTCACTAACAAAGACACATAACGGCAATCAGTTAAGTTTCACATTCAGCGATTAACATAAACAAATTCCCACATGATAAACTATTTTTAATGATCATTTCTGAATTATATTCATTCACTCTGAGTTTTTCATGCAGACTGAACATGAAAATAGTCTCCTACACCTATCTCCTGCATTAGCTTCTGAAAGAAAATAGACTGTGAAAAGCTAAGATTAGAAAAGCCTGAAAAATCTACGCCACACTTTCAATTAATGCTCATGGACTCACCCATCTTAACTCATGACGAGGAAGGCATGAGATGGAGATTGACAGAACGTCTTGGCTAGTAGAAGCTAACTGTTAGCATTAGCAACTCCACCACACAGCAGAACTTATGTGGGCTTGAGATATTTGTGGAGATAAAACATCCATGTCACGTTGCTGTTTTCCAGTCTGAGTTGAGATGTTTTACTTTAAATGGAAAACTGCAGCATTCCAAGTTAGACTTATTTTATATGAGTGAACTCAAATGCACATCATGTCCTGTCTTTGCTGGAGAATTAGGTTTTGGACCGAAGAAATGCTTCTCCTGTGTTGTGCCATGTGCCTCTTGTAAAGGTCTGAACTCTCCTCACTTCATTGGACTCCATGAACGCACCATTTAGTTTGTGATGTGAAACAGCTTCTGTCTGAGGATCCTGTTTGACCTGATATCTTCTGGATGTTGCGTTTGTTTTTTTAGGAATCTCTTAACTGACCTTGGATTATTTCCTCTTGACTCAGCTGTCACTTGTGCGTCTCAGTGTATTCACAGAGACCTGGCAGCCAGGAACGTGCTGGTCACTGAGGACAACGTGATGAAGATTGCTGACTTTGGTCTGGCTCGAGACATCCACCACATCGACTACTACAAGAAGACTACTAATGTAAGGCTGAATGGTTTTAACAGATGTAACCTTGATGAAATCCCAACGAGGGGCAGTGCTGATGTGTTGCTATGCCTACAGGGCCGTTTGCCGGTGAAGTGGATGGCACCTGAAGCTTTGTTTGATCGCATCTACACACACCAAAGTGACGTGTGAGTCCTTCAGTTCTGTTTGATGTCTGATAAAGTTTTTACCCATTTAAAGTACTAATCCAGAATTTGAAAACAACTAAATGCTCCAAGATGTTTTCACATTTTTTTTCAAAGTAAAATGTTGTTTAATACAATGCCATACCCAGGGTTCCCACGCGTCCTGGAAAACCTGGAAAACCTGGAAAAATGATAGTCCAATTTTCCAGTCATGGAAAACACATGGAAAATGGGGGGAATTGCAAAATGTCCTGGAAATTTTTGAGTTGTCCTGGAAAATAATTGTCCATCCTTGTGGATAAACAAATGGATTAAACATTTTGGGCAATATTGGGCTGTAGCGCTTCTCCTTTAATTTCTGCATCTAGCTGGCACAGCGCCCCACATGACGCTTCCAACCAATCAGATTGCATAATCCCCTTCAGTTCCAGTTCCACTTCTGTTTTTCCAACTGTCTTTTTGGCTAGATTTACAGATTTTTCACCCCTAGATTTATTTCTCTAAAGAAGGGCCAAAAGTAGCGACTCGGTTCGCGAGTATTGCGTTATCGCAGTTTATAGAGCGAGAGGTTTTTCTCCTTCTCTCTGTTGAGTGACAAAGGAGCAGCGGAGAGCTTTTGTTTTTTTCACTCATGCGATGAGACGAGTGAACTTGAGGAGAGCTTCGGGATAGCAACGGAAAGCAGGTAGTCTACCGGACCCGCGCTCCACTCAGTAATTCATACTTGTTCTATCGTCCAACAGCAGAAACAAAAATATGTGAATGATAAAAATGTCATGAATTTGATTCTATCAAAATACTAAGTATGTGCTCAGAGGACAGAGCCTCAGCTGTTCATACTGTTTTTAGCTAGCTACACAGACCGCAGCCAGGTGGCAGTGAGAACTGGACTGGCATGGTCATTGAACAAAGTTGTTAACGTAATTAAATTGAATTCAACACGGCTAAATTAATAACTAGAATGATTTTAAGTGGTAACTATATATTTATCATAGTAATGTTACGTACAGTCCAGATTAAAAAGGGAGCGAACAACTACAAGTACTTATCTCTGAGGTAGAAAAAAATATTTTTCAGGTCCAATATGTCTGTGGTGTTAGCGGGAGATATTAGCCTAGTCATCTATCCTGAATCTTGTTTCTGGATGACTGGACTAACCTAAAATGACCAATACTGGAACAACAAAATGCAGTTTAACATCCAACTATGTGGAATAAGCAGTAAAGTGTAATGTGGTGTGTACAGTAAGTATAATACATAGAATATGAAAGATATGAAAGAGCTAAGGTTTGAAAAGTAGGCCTAATTTATTGTATAAACAGTAACAATCTTTCAAAATATGTCTCTGTGTCCTTTATAGGCAGGAGTGAGTGATGTCAGGAAGACGGTGCCAATTCAAAACTTTTCAAAACTGGCTTTTTGCTAGCCCCAAGACTCTCTGCCTGTGTGTTGGGGTTTACCCCAGTGGACGAGAGGGTAGCTTCCCTGTGCCTTCGGGTCGGGGAACGGGTCCTGACTGTAGTTTGCGCTTATGGGCTAAATACCAGTTCAGAGTACCCACCCTTTTTGAAATCCCTGGGACGAGTGCTAGATAGTGCTCCATCAGGGGACTCCATTGTCCTGCTGGGGGACTTCAATGCTCACCTGGGCAATGACAGCATGACCTGGAGGGGTGTGATTGGGAGGGACGGCCCGCCTGATCTGAACTCAAGTGGTGTTTCATTATTGGACTTCTGTGCAAGCCGCAGTTTGGCCATAACGAACACCATGTTCGAACATAAGGATGCCCATCGGTACACTTGGTACCAGGGCAGCCTAGGTCGCAAGTCGATGATAGACTTTGTAGTCTTATCATCTGACCTACGGCCGTATGTTTTGGATACCCGAGTGAAGAGAGGAGCGGAGCTGTCAACTGATCACCACCTGGTGGTGAGTTGGATCAGATGGCAGGGGAAGATGCTGCGTAGACCTGGCAGACCCAAACGCATAGTGAGGGTCTGCTGGGAACGCCTGGCAGAAGACCCTGTCAAGACGGTCTTCAACTCCCACCTCCGGCAGAGCTTTGACCGTGTCCCGAGAGCAGTGGGGGACATTGACTCCGAGCGGGCCTTCTTCCGCTCTGCGATTGTTGAGGCGGCTGTTGCTAGCTGTGGTCGCAAGGTGGCCGGTGCCAGTTGTGGTGGTAACCCCCGTACCCGCTGGTGGACACCAGAGGTTCGGGGAGCCGTCAGGCTGAAGAAGGAGGCCTACAAGGCGTGGCTGGTCTGTGGGTCTCCGGAGGCAGCAGATAGGTACCGGATATCCAAGCGGGGTGCAGCAGTGGCAGTTGCCAAGGCAAAATCTCGGGCGTGGGAGGAGTTTGGTCAGGCCATGGAGAAAGACTATCGATCGGCTCCAAAGAGGTTCTGGCAAACTGTCCGACGCCTCAGGAGAGGAAGACAGCAACTCGCTCACACTGTTTACAGTGGGGATGGGGAGCTGCTGACATCAACTGGGGCTATGGTCGGACGGTGGAAGGAATACTTTGAGGAGCTCCTCAATCCCACCTATGCGCATTCCGAGGAGGAACCAGAGCCAGGAGACATGGGGATGGACTGTCCAATCTTGGGGGCAGAAGTTGCTAAGGTAGTCAAACAACTACACAGCGGCAGAGCCCCAGGGGTGGATGAGATTCATCCTGGGTATCTCAAGGCTATGGATGTTGTAGGACTGTCATGGTTGACATGTCTCTGCAACATTGCGTGGTCATCGGGGGCAGTTCCTGTGGAGTGGCAGACTGGGGTAGTGGCCCCCATCTTTTAGAAGGGTGACCAGAGGGTGTGTTCCAACTATAGGGGGATCACACTCCTCAGCCTCCCTGGAAAAGTACTGGAGAGGAGGGTCCGATCGATAGTCGAATCTCAGATTGAGGAGGAGAATTGTGGTTTTCGTCCTGGCCGTGGAACTGTGGACCAGCTCTATACCCTTGCAAGGGTGATGGAGGGGCATGGGAGTTTGCCCAACCAATCCACATGTGTTTTGTGGATTTGGAGAAGGTTTATGACTGTGTCCCCAGGGGCACTCTGTGGGGGACGCTCCAGGAGTATGAGGTGGGTGGCTTTCTGTTAAGGACCATTCAGTCCCTTTACCAGAGGAGCGTGAGTTTGGTCCGCATAGCCGGTAGTAAGTTGGACCTGTTCCCGATGAGGGTTGGACTCCGCCAGGGCTGCCCTTTGTCACTGGTTCTGTTCATTACCTTTATGGACAGAATTTCTAGGAGCAGCCGTGGTGTGGAGTGTGTCGAGTTTGATGGCAGGAGAATCTTGTCTTTGCTTTTTGTAGATGATGTGGTCCTCCTAGCTTCATCCAGCTCTGATCTTCAGCTCTTGCTGGGTAGGTTCGCGGCTGAGTGTGAAGCGGCTGGGATGAGGATCAGCACCTCCAAATCTGAGACCATGGTTCTCGACCGGCAAAGGGTGGCTTGCCAACTCCGGGTCGGGAGAGAGGTCCTACTTCAAGTGGAGGAGTTTAAGTATTTCAGGGTTTTGTTCACGAGTGAGGGTACTGAGGGATCGGGGGATCGGGAGATCGACAGGCGGGTTGGTTCGGCGTCTGCAGTGCTGCGGACGTTGAGCCGATCTGTCGTGGTGAAGAGGGAGCTGAGCCAGAAAGCCAGGCTCTCGATTTACTGGTCAATCTACGTCCCAATCCTCACCTATGGTCATGAGCTTTGGGTAATGACCGAAAGAACGAGATTGCGGATACAAGCGACCGAAATGAGTTTCCTCCATAGGGTGGCCGGGCTCAGCCTTAGAGATAGGGTGAGGAGCTCGGACATTCGGGAGGGACTCTGAGTAGAACCGCTGCTCCTCCAGATCGAAAGGAGTCAGTTGAGGTGGTTTGGGCATCTGGTCAGGATGCCCCCTGGACGCCTCCCTGGGGAGGTGTTTCGGGCATGTCCTGCCGGCAGGAGGCCCCCGGGTCGACCCAGGACACGTTGGAGAGGTTGAATCTCCAATCTGGTCCGGGAACGCCTTGGGGTCCTGGTGGAGGTGGCTGGGGAGAGGACGGTCTGGAGCTCCCTAGTTGGGATGCTGCCCCCGCGACCCAGACCCGGATAAGCGGAGGAAGACGACGACGATTTCATTCAGCACAGTGGATTAACCTGATTCAGTTGCTGAGCAGAACAAAAACAGGACATGGAGATGACTTGATGATGCCACAATGTCACACCTCTGGTATGAACTAAAGTAGAGAATAACTTCTGTTTTAGTTGTGTTGCATTGTAAGTAGAGGAAAGCAGGTGGGCTTGTGAAAGACAAAAATCTTTCCACAAATATATTGTCAAAATAACGGTGTGGGTAGGTACAATATCATATCTGTTTCTAAATATATCGGGATATCGGCAAACCGCAGTTATGATAACTTGACTTGTACACTGAAAAAGTCTTGAAAATGTCCTGGAAAAGTCCTGGAAAATTATTTCAAGAAAAGAGTGGGAACCCTGCATACCATATCAATTTATTTATAAAGCACAGTTTAAAAATAGCATGGCAGCTAACCAAAGTGCTGTACAAAATGAGCCAAAGGCTCAGATGCAACAGAGAAATAGCATAAATCTAAGGAATTAACTATAAAATGCATAAAAACCAAAGCATCAAAAATCATGTTTAAAGACGGCAGTCAATGAGAACAAGTACAATCCCTATGCCAAAAAAAATTAAAGAGGAAAGAAAACTATTAAAACTAGCTAAAAATGACTAATAAAACTGAAAGGGCTAAGAGATATCACAAGATATGGGCCATTTGAGTAGATGGGCCATTCAAAGCCTTATACACAAAAGGCAAGACTTTGAAATTAATCCTAAATTTAACCAGAAGCCAGTGTAAATCAACAAGATTAGGAGTGATGTGCATGCGTCTGTCGGTATTGGTTAAAAATCTGGCCACAGCATTTTGAACTTTTTCTAGTATGCCTAAGGTTGATGCATTAATCCCAATCAGCACAAAATTGGCGTAATCTAGACTGGATGTAATGAACGCATGAACGACGCAAGATGCATGCGTTTGAGGATGGATTCAAGACTTGTGATGCAGCACAGTTTAAAAAAGTAAGACAGTGGCGTTGACATGTAAAGTCATAGAGGGGTTGGAATCGAGTTTCACACCCAGGCTGGTGATAATTTGAGACTGAGTGAGCGGAGAGTGGGGACACCTGAAGCATCATTTGTGTTAGTGGGGTTGAGAAGGATGTCTTCTTCTTAGAGGAGAGCCGGGTTTTGACCTCACAGAGGCCTCACAGAGGCATTCTGACTAAACTGAAGTTGAGTGCTGTTGACTGAACTGTAGGTAAATTTGGCAATCGTCTGCATAGAAATGGTAGTTGACTCCGTGACTGGCTCTGTAAGTGTGCCCCAGGGCAGCTGTAGCTACATGGTAGCTCATCACCACCCGTGTGGGAATGTGTATGTGAATGGATGAATGATACAATGTAGTGTAAAGCACTTTGGAGTTCTGACTCTGAAAGCGCCATACAAGTGTGGGTCATTTATCATATTTTCTGAGAGGGAGCATGTAGATTGAAAAAAAGAGGGGACCCAGGATAGAGCCCTGAGGCACTCTCCATGGAAGTAGGACATCGGGAATAGAGCAGTCCTCAATATGGATGCTAAAACACCAATCGGTGAGGTACAATTTAAACTAGGCAAGGGCAGTACTGGTCACACCCACCCATGACTCACTGAGGTGAGAAGTAAGCTGCGGAAGAATTTCTTGATGAATTTTGAGATGAATGGGAGTCTAGAGATCTGGCAGCAGTTGGCACAGACAGACTGGACCATAGACAAACCTTCACCATCTGACACTCCACATCCAATTAAAGCTTCTTTCCAGAGTATTTCTCTTATCCGATGGCACTATCTAGTGGCTGACAAGCATATCACACAAAAAGTCTATTCCTCGGTTTGTTTAAGATGGTGACATCACATTTCTGTTGTGCTTCTGTAGCCGACAGAGCTAAAACACGTTGTTTTACGAGTATTATTCTTATGTCATGCTGCGTTCTCATATATTTATATTTTAGAGACTTTCTTGTCTGTGAAAAGTTCATCAACTCTGCATCAATAGAGGTATTTCTTAAATTTGAAGCAAGTAAGCAGTAGTCTAACGCTATTGGTTAGTTCTGGTCGGTGCTCAGTTTCCTGTTGCACGGAGCTCTGCGGGGCAGGGGGCGTTGTTAGCAAAAAAAAAGACGTATTGCTTACATTTGATCACAGTACATGATGAGATAATCACTTTTACGGATTTCAGAAAAATCATACATCATTTCTGAAAGGGGAAAACTGCAAAAAAGCTTTAATCTAGGTTTAACTTAATTTCAAAAAAAAAAAAAAAAGAAAAAGAAAGAAAAATACTTTATTTCTGGTTTTGTTGAGCAGAAATCTGTGTATTTTAGTTTTTTAAACTCCAAAAAAAGATGATAGGGACTTGTAGCAAATACATTAACATTTTCTATCAATGCAGTTAAGGAAGATTTGGACTCATACAGTCCCTTATACGTACTGGATTTCAATTACTAAAGCTATGATCATGTTATTTCTAAGGCTAACACCAGTGTAATTTGGGATGACTTGGCTCAGTTTGGTAGAATGCCAAAAAATGTACACCTTTTTTTCGTTTGGTTTACTTTCACATTGTATTTCTGAAACCAGACCAAACCATCTGGATAATGTGCGAGTTACAAGAGCTGCTTGTTTGGAGAGGAAAAGCCTGAAACAATTATCGGCCCGCTACTGGATTGGACTTGTCTCTCTTTCTGGTTTGCTGCACAATCACACTGTAACTTAAACATACAAGAGTCTCATTTATTCAGGTGGACCCGTATTCAATTGTTTTATCAGCAGCAGAGCTCAGATTAGCGTTCTTAATCCTTCGGATAGTTCCCAAGCGTAGCCACTGCTGCAGCTCGCTGCTCCCCAGGAGGATGGGCCAAATACGGAGATGTACTTTCACCAACATGTGATGGTGACAATGGGACTTTAGCTTTATACAGCAGATTGTCAGGGGACACAGACACTGACCCACTAGAAGGGAACCAATCAGTGTTGCCCACTCCATTCGCTTGGTTTCAGTCACATGACCCTGTGTTCTGTTTGCACCTGAACTGATCTTCTCTGATTAGTACCTTCACTGTCTTGTATATAGTAGCCATTGCTCTAATTATTGACACTTTCTATTATTATTTTATCATGATTATATTCTTACTTCCTATATTTACTTATCTCTTATTTTTATCTTTCTTTGTGCACCAAGTATCGCAGGAGTTTCCTAATGTTGTGATTTCTCACACATGGCAATAAAACCCTTCTGATTCTGATTTATTCTTAATTCACCAATAGACATGTCAGATACTTCTCAAAACACTAACCACTAGTTGTCATGAGCTTTGACAGTACCCATAGAACACAATCACAAATACAAGTGATGAGTTTCCTCTTTAGGATTCACCGTAGAGATAGGGTGAGAAGTTTGGAAACCTGGGACAGGCTCTTTGAATGAGGTCGTTCAGGCAGCGGGTCTGGGTGCATTCTGGGGGAGATGTTTCAAGCATGTCCTGCAGCAGGAGGCCTCAGGGCTAACCCAGGATGCTCTAGAAGGCTTATATCTCTGGCTGTTCTGTGAATGCCTTGATGTCCCATTAGTGAAAGTGGCAGGGCAGAGGACAGCCTGGGCTTCCTGCTGGGGTTGCTGCCCCCGCCATTGAGATCTCGGTATGCTGAAGATGACAAGAATGAGTACTAGTTCCACAACATGATCCAGACCTGCCAAACGTGTGTGTGTGTGTGTGTGTGTGTGTGTGTGTGTGTGTGTGTGTCTCAGTGGATCAGACCGGCCATCTTTTGGTGGATGTGAATCGTTACGTGTAACATTACTTTCACTGTTGAAAATATTCCAGCCGAAATCTAAATGGGGGGAATAAAAGAAAAAGATCTGCGAAAAAAGAGAGACAGGCAGCAGTGTATCTGTGTGTGTGTATGTGTGGATGTGTATGTGTGTGTTTGTGATTTTTTTTTTGCCTTTATAAAAATTGCAGATAGATTTGACCTGTATATAAGGAGAAACGTGATTATTTATACAGTTTAAATATGTAGCCACCAAACTGTTGCTCCACGTTTTGGCGGATGAGAGAGAAGCAGACAGGGAGAGACTGGTTAGCAGACCTGTTAATAATAAGAGTGCCCATGTGTCTCAGAAATTGTTGTCTAAATATTAAGAACAGTGGCCATGCTTGCGACCCTAAACTACCTCAGCTTGCATTTTGCACAATCAGCAAATAAAATGTGGACATGAGCCTCAAGGGAGCTGCAGGTAAATTAGCCCTGGTGATGTGTGCATATGTACTTTAACCCTCCCACTGTCTTTATGGGTGACCACGCAAGGAAAGTTGACCATTGAGCAGGGTTGATGGTTTATCCCTTGAAGTCCACGTGGCAGGGGTGAGGTGGTGCTCACTCCTTACCCCTGCCACATGGACCCAAGGGATAAACCATCAACCCTGCTCAATGGTCAACTTTCCTCACGGGGTCACACCTATTAGGACAGTGGGAGGGTTAAGTTGATTTTAATATTGCATTCTTGAAAACAGAAACACCTATTGCAATATACAAAATAAATCATTACCATTAAATACATACATCTGTGCTCTGCTGCAGGTGGTCATTCGGTGTTTTGTTGTGGGAAATTTTCACTCTTGGGGGCTCTCCTTACCCTGGTGTCCCCGTGGAGGAGCTCTTCAAGTTGCTAAAGGAGGGACACCGCATGGAGAAGCCCTCTGCCTGCACTCAGGAGCTGTGAGCAGACAAACGCAGTGAAACAATCTGTTTAGTCGCTCGTAGTCATGTTGTAGAGTAACTCATCTGGGTTTGCTCAGGTATCTGATGATGAGGGACTGCTGGCATGCAGTTCCATCTCGCAGGCCAACGTTTCAACAGCTGGTGGAAGATCTAGATCGGACACTTTCTCTAATGACCAATCAGGTAACATCAAGCCAACCAGTACACTACAGTACACAGCAGTATGAGCCAGGCTTCATCTACTTCAGTTTTTGTTCTCAGTGTTCCAGCTAATCCCTCATTATTAATAATCAATACAATCAGCTGCTAGTTCAGTTCAAAGGAGACAGACACTTTTTTCCCTGATGGTCACACACTTCAGGACCTACTGTTCAAACATTCACCATGCCAAAGTTTGACTTATTTATAGGTGAAACTCAGAAAATTAGAATATTGTGCAAAAGTTAATTTATAATGTAGTAATTCAGCTTAGCCTGAGAGACCTTCTAAAGGCTCAGGAATCATGTTGGGATCTCCAGCTATTTTAAGAGATTGGTTCGGCATCTGCAGTGATGCGGACGCTGAGCCGATCTGTCGTGGTGGAGAGGGAGCTGAGCCAGAAAGCCAGGCTCTCGATTTACCGGTCGATCTACGTCCCAATCCTCATCTATGGTCATGAGCTTTGGGTAATGACCGAAAGAACGAGATCGCGGATACAAGCGGCCGAAATGAGTTTCCTCCGTAGGGTGGCCGGGCTCAGCCTTAGAGATAGGGTGAGGAGCTCGGACATTCGGGAGGGACCCAGAGTAGAACCGCTGCTCCTCTGGATCGAAAGGAGTCAGTTGAGGTGGTTTGGGCATCTGGTCAGGATGCCTCCTGGACGCCTCCCTGGGGAGGTGTTTTGGGCATGTCCTGCCGGTAGGAGGCCCCCGGGTCGACCCAGGACACGTTGGTGAGGTTACGTCTCCAATCTGGTCCGGGAACGCCTCGGGGTCCTGCCGGAGGAGCTGGTGGAGAAGGCCGGGGAGAGGACGGTCTGGAGCTCCCTAGTTGGGATGCTGCCCCCGCGACCCGGACCCGGATAAGCGGAGGAAGACGACAACGACGGTTCATAAACATCGACTCTTTTGGCTCTCAAGAGGCTTCTCATGTTTTTTGTTTCTTAAATTAACTTATCACCAAACTGCGTGTGAACTGAATTGCTAATCTACAAAAATACACCATATTAAATTTTTATCATTTAATTTTCTAATCAACAAGCAGAGTGCATGCTATTTTAAACCTTTAAGAGCAAAGGTAGGCACAGTATATGACAAAATATTACCGTTGGCACTATTGAGATGTCATTTATCTTAAATATGAATTACTACCTGGAAAGAAAACACTTTGTTTCAGTGAAACTTCGCCCTTGCCCACTCCGACAAAACATGCCTACAAAGGCATCTTAAGCCTGATTTATACTTCTCCGTCTGGGTCGATGTGGAGACACGCAACGCCATTATGTGTTGGCACAAGGGCTCTCCGACGGGCTCACAGAGGGTGACTGACATGCCCAATTTTTTAATTATCCAATGAAAGTGACGGAGACCGCAAGCTTGTGATTGGTCAGGACATCGCTTCCTGTAAATTCATCAACAGCACTGCCATTGGCCTGTTAAAAAGTAAAAAGATCTTTAGCGGCAGACACGGTCATGGAAAAAGTCCGGAAATATGAATGTTTACCCGTGACTTAAGGAGTACAAAAATACAGAGCAAACATTTTCTAGTGGATAGAAACGACGGGAAATGTGTGTTTAGAGGTGGCGACCCCATGAAGAGGTGGAGGAGAATGAAGGATACATTTGTCTGTTATGAAGTCTCAGAACTAAATAAACACATTAGTAAATAAACTATCATGGACCAGATACATGAGTGTCATGATGGCAGGTGACCACAGAAAAGCATTACGCCCTCTGCTGTCCTGGTGGGGAATTGCTTTGCAACGCTTCCCTGGTGACAGAGAAGTCCAAGAGCAAAGCGTCTCCGTCAATGTGTGTGCGTCTCTCCCCTGCAGAGCTGATGGAGGAGTATAAATCAGGCTTTAGGCAAATCAGTTTCTGTATTATCTACCTTAGTCCAGTAGTTGAGGCATCTGCCTGCCATCTTAGTTTTGACTCGAACTGACGTGGGTTTGAATCTCGGTGGTGTCGGCAGTAATTTATTTAACCAGCTGAAGCAGATTTCATGTTATAATATTTTAGTTTTATTAATTATTTTCTGCAAAAGAAAGTAAAAAAATAAAAATAAACCAGATTAGTCCTTACATTTTAAACAGTTTTACCAAGAAAAGGTTGAAAACATTACTGGCAAGTGTAGCAGGGGAAAAAAAAGAAAACAAGTTACTGCTCAGACCAGGATACAAATCCCTTCTTTCAGTCCAACCAGACACCAGAGGCTTTTAATGGTCATCAGGCTTTGATGGGTCCTAGGCTGTTGCATCGTACATAATCCACATTTGTTTAGAGGGTGTATTTAAAACATCCAACAGAATAACACACTGCGTGTTCTACTCAAACCACACTCATGTTCCTGTCAATTTAAGGCACTCTTCCATTAAACCCTCATTAAGTTCTGATTGGTCAGAAACACCAGAGTACAAAGCTGCTGTTGTTCAAAATGAGTCCTCAGGTCAGCCTTGTGTAAGTGTCTTTAATCATGTCAGTGACATTATGTAATGTGATGTCATGTGATCTAACCCTCTCCAGGAGTACCTGGATCTGGCCGTCCCTCTGGTCCAGTACTCACCCATCCAGTACTCCCCGGTCTGTGTCTCCACGCCGACTCATCCCTGTACCTCCACATAGTTGTTGTGGATACTTCCCCCCCCCCCATCCCCACCTGCTTCCTGTGTCCAGTGCCATGTTGTCTCAGATGACTTCACCGGGCAGAAGAGAAGGTGATGAGTTGAGCTCTTTTCTGCATCCTGTTGTGAAGAACAGCTGGACTGAGCTGGACTTCAGAAACCCTGTTGATGATGTAGATAGTGTGAATATTGTAAATATTAGTATGCTATGACAAAGATCAGCTTGAATTTCTCGCATCAGTTCTTAACATTTTGTGTAAAGTGTTAAGTTTGTGTCCATTAGCAGCATCCCAGACTCTCAGTAATGGAATAATATTTCAGTAATGAACTTTCGTGTTTTCTCAACTTATTTTCTTCACTTCTTTGTCATTTTGATACATTTTTACCAAAAATGTCTGTTTATTTACAACAGTTATCCTGTCCCCATGCTGTAGTTCTTTTTTAAAACACAGAGCAGTTTTGTTTACCTGTTTTCACGTTGATGGTGGTGGATAAACAGAGAAGGAAGTGACGCCACCATCAGCGTCAGCCTGAGGAAGTTTGCAGCCGCAAACGAAACGTAGCGGGAAACCAGGTAAACAAAACTGCTCTGTGTTTTAAAAAATAACTACAGCATGGAATTAGAGATACGACACAGCAAGAACACACCTAAGAAGTTATCCTGTCCTCTGGTTACAATGTATAAAATAACTAAATACCAGTATTAAAATGTATGCATTTGAACATTTTTCTTGTTTTGCTTTTTAATGGTTAAAAATGAGAATTACTTTTAATGACAATTTTGTTTGAGGCTAGCTCTGTGCTTGTTTTAAATGTGAAACCTGAGCCAATATACTGTTTATTTAACTTAAATAAAGCATGCATTGTATAGTCCCGATGGAAATCCAGAGCTGTCATCAAAGGACAACCTGCAGCGCCTGGCTCCCTGGGGTCCAGAGGCCAGCTGGTGGCCGTAACACGTTAATATTGTTTTTAGAGTAAGTTGTGCAACACCTGGATTGAAGTGTGAGCGTGCGTTTATTAATCAAAGGCAACAGTCAAAACCTCTGAAATTCAGCCCCACCAGACCAGGAAACATTTTCTAGTCTCCTATGGTCCAGTTCTGGTGATCCTGTGTGAATTCTAGCCTCAGGTTTCTGTATAGCAGACAGGAGAGACACCTGGTGTTGTCTTCTGCTGCTAAAGTAACACCTTCTCCATTCTGATGCTCTGTTTGAACCTCAGCAAGTTGTCTTCACCACATTACCCAATTGCACTGAGGAGCTTCACTGTGATTGGTTAGTATACCCAATAAAGTAGCTGGTTTGATTATATTAAATAAAGTTAATGTATTTTGTGATAAATTAGGGCACATTTCCACTACCTGCTTTGGAGTTGCGCGGTCAGTAGGTGGCAGTGTGTAGCATCTGGCTGCATGTTGGTACAGAGTTCTTTCCAGGATAAACGGTCACATGCACAAGTATCTGACTTCATGCAGTAAACTGGTCCTTTTTAAGAAAAGACATCATACTTTGGTTTTCTGGCAAAGTCCACACACACACACCTATGCTTTTTGACAGACTGACACCAGAAGAATTTTGACCAAGTCCTGGCTTGTGGCTGCTGGTGGACGTAAATTAAAGTGATCCAACACTGTGTGAAGTGGTTTCTCTTAGCATTGTGCTCTGCAGCTGAATCAGGGAGAGCTGGCCAATAATTCTGTCAACAACCCTAACCTATTTTTCATAATCAATACTTGATTGTCAGAGCTGGTGGATTTTTGTTCTTTTGCTCATCTCCTGAGGATCTTGTGAATCATGAGTATTGTTAATGTTTTGCTCCTTGAGCCATTACGTTTTGAATATAGCCTTAAAGCATGGTGCAAAAAATGACGTTCATCACCACACTGTTTTTTGGTGGTTGAGAGGAGTGCCTCTTGGAGGACATTTAGGACACATTCTTCTGTGTCCTGAGGCTAAACTGAATGAGTCCACTCCCTTGGCAAAGAAGCAGCCACACATTTATGGTCTCAGGATGCTTCACTGTTTGCATGGCATGGTACTGATCAGAACTTTTTCTCACCTTTTATTCAGATTCCCCAAATAATCAAACAAGGTTAATTCAAGAAAATATATCCCCGTCCTCAGCAGTCTAATCACAGAACGTTCAATCCAAATATGAGTACATTCTCATTCATGATGTTTTTAGAGAGAATTTGCTTCTTTGCTGCAGCAAGCCCTCCTCCAAAAGTCTTCCTCTCACTGTGCTGCATGGTCTCATACCTGTCTGCTAACATTTCTTTTTCACATGTGGAATGCTGATCTTGCACCTGAATCAACTTCTGGAGATGGTCCTGGTGCTGCCTTCCCCTTGGGTACCCTGAAGCCATCTTTGAAAATGGATTGGAAACTATCTGGAGTTTAGCCATATTGTCATCAGATAAACAGAGGCAACATTTTTTTCCATATCACGGCTGTACAAACATCCTGCAGAAAAGTGTCCTGTGTCTTTAGTGTAACGGCTGAGGACAACCATCTTTTATTTTTAAGTAACAGCCTATGGGACCATCCTTGGTCTAAAACTGTGGACTTCTTCAGTGGACAAACCCCATCTAAGTTTAGGGATAGGAAAGGATTCAAATGATCTGAAGAGAATGGTGCATATGGAGTACAGGACAAAGCTCAATGTGAATCAGACACAAAATGCCAGGATAATTATGTTATGGTCGGCCATATCAGAAAGTGGCACGAATTGGTAAGAATTCCTTTTCCAAGTTTTATTCGAATCTGCTTCACATGTATCAATATCAGGCATCCATCTTAACTCCTCTAAGCACTTCTTTTCTCTCTTCTACCTACATTCTCCTCTCCTATACTGCCCCCTAGTGGTATACATAATGAAGTAGAAAAAACTTTTTTTTTTTTACCTGACTGGCTTCCTTCAATTCCCTCTGTTTTTGATTCCCACAGAGAGGAAACTGTGGTGACCTTTCATCATGCACTGCGGTGTGCTCCCTGGCTGACGTTGAACAGTTCAGGGTATGTTTTTACAGCTTTGTGCTCAGCACTGCTTCCTGTTTGCTGCAGAACTGGCATCTATTTCATTCTTCAGGAGGTCTCATACTATGATGGAAGTCTGAATCCCTTCCATGTAAAGGTTTTAGGAAAGAGCTTGTGCACACTGCCAAAACAAAGGCGTTCCAGAAAAACGTGTTTGAAAACTCTGCTGGACAGTTCGGATATTGATATGTATGAATGTCTAACCGTCTCAGCTGTTACATGGGTATGTGTAGGCTATATTTGGGTATGTAAATATATATGGGTAAGTTTAGCAAAAACTTTAAAACAGCTTTTGGATCCAATTACAACAACAGTCATAACAAGAAGAAAGTATAGATGTAGGCATAAATTGGATGAAGGGGTAGTGGCACAGGAGGAAGAGCAGGTCATCCAGTAACTGGAGGGTTGCCGGTTAAATCCTAGCTCATTCTGTCATTGTGTCTTTGGGAAAGACACTTCATCCAAGTGTATGAAAAATACACAAACATCAAGATTTTGACCTTATTTGATCAACAATTAACTTGATGTTCATCTGAGGGTGTTGCAGCATTTACTGAAAAAAGTACTATACCTTCAACAGCTATGTGCTGCCAAATCAGGCATTTAAACTGCGACTGTGATGATCCTGGAGGGACTGCAGGTTTCCCCACATGACACACAGTTAGAATATGCTGACATGCTTTTTACATTTCTGATGTCATTTGGCATAATTACATGATACATCCATCCATTTTCGACCACTTATCCAGGGCCAGCAGCCAAAGCCAGGATGCCCAGACTTCCCTCTCCCCACCCACTTGGGCCAGCTTCTCTGGGGTAATCCCAAGACATTCCCTAGCCAGACGAGATACATACTGTAGTCCCTCCAATGTGTCCTGGGTCTTCCTAAGGTCTCCTCCTGGTTGGATGTGCCCAGAAAACCTCAAAAGGGAGGCATCCAGGAAGCATCCTGACCAGATGCCCGAGCTACCTCAACTGGCTCCTCTCAACGAGGAGGAGCAGCGGGTCTACTCTGAGCCCCTCCCAGATAATCGAGCTTCTCACCCTATCTCTAAGGAAGAGAGCACAGACACCCTGCGGAAAAAACTCATTTTGGCCGCTGGTGTCCGCGATCTCGCTCTTTCGCTCACTACCCAAAGCTCGTGATCACAGGTGAGGGTGGGAATGTTGGAACGTACATGATGTGTAATGTAATGTTTCTGTGTCCACACTGCTCTGAGCAGAAATATGGAGCATTTTCTGATAAAAAAAATTTTTGGTTCGAGTTAGGGTTCTGAGGACGAAACAAGAAAATTATTTCATACAAGGCTTGAGTGGAAACTTAATTTGATAGAAGTTGACTATTTTTTCGTTTGGTTGTAATTTTTGCAAAATGCTCATTTTTTATTATTTTTTAGAAAAACTATGAAATGATATTCTCATCAATAACATTTCTAATCTTCCCCTGTGTTTTGGAGACAGACCCCCACCCCCCACCCCCGAACTTGAACACGTCACCCAGCATCAGCTGGTAAGCACACACAGCTGAGCTGCAGTTAAACTTTCTGTGATTCCTGGAAACACAGCCATCTTTTCTGCTGTCAGCAAACACACCTCCTAGTGGAAAAATGAATGGATTTCTCAAGCTAGATGGAGGTTAATGGGCCATAACACGGAGGTGAGAAGCCATCGTGGGTCAGCTAGTATTACAGCAACAGATGGCCGAGTGAGAGCCATCCTGGGGCCACTTAGCACCTCAGGTGGGGCCAACAGGCTTGGACAAACAGCAGCTATTTTGTTTTTAGAAGTCTCATGCTTATTTTTCACTTACTCATTCCTTCTTTATGCATTTTTCAGAATCACTAACAGTGTTGGGAGTAATGTGGTGCGGTAATTACAATGCATTTTTAAACCCAGAATCAAGATGTGTTCCTTAAAAATTCAAATTGCGGGAAACCCGAAGAAAGATCCGGTATCTGCATATATTACGTCATTTATGGACTCAGCTTTGCGGGCAGAGAGGACGCAGCGGTAACGGCTCAGCTGCGTCCTCCACGCGGCCGCTGTAACATTCACAAAATCGCTCCACTAAAACAAAATAATTCACTTGCGATCGTTCATATCAGCGCATATTCTCTGGTATTTTGTGCTTTTCTGACGTGCTTTGTGTCACACAACCTCCCGCTCAGCCGTCAACCTCCTCTAGGGAGGCACCGCAGAGCCGCTCAGACTCCATTACCCAACATCCCTAGCGCCAGGTTTTCCGTTTCACGTCACCCGCCAAACCTATATAAGGAAGTGCCGCACAACGCCGGCTCACTCAGTCATCGTTCTCACCGAACTTAACCTAGAGTCCTAACCAGATCAGCTCAGATCACGAAGCCTGTTCAGATCAGACCAGCCCGATCTCCGAATCCTGCCTGTTCGTACAGATCAGCTTCAGACCAGGAGTCGCCGTGTTCAGCTGTGTCACAATACAGCTGCGTACCCGGCTCCCAGATTAAACAGCGTGTCCATTCAACCCGGCGGCGTCAGTCACTCCGCGCTTGGGTTAAAAGCCACGCCACATCCAAACTCTCGCCCAGCTCGAGTCACCCCGTTACAGGATGACTGAGTCCACAGTTAACCCAGCGGAGTTTGATAACCTGCGTGCTCAGGTCAACCGGATGGAAGTCACGGTGGAACGCCTGGCCGCCAAGGTGGATT